TTTTTAATCATATAAATATAATAATTTATCAGTTTTATCCAATTACAATTAGTACGTAAATAATATTAAATAATTATTATCCATTTTAATTTAAAGAACTCACTCTTCATCATAACGTATACATACCCAAATCATTAGCATCACTTATTTATGATCATGATGATCAGTAAATATGTAACTGGAATATTTTTCTTCCATAAAAGGAAAATGACCGAAATAGGTTTTCATCATATAATCGTTTCATATAGATCGTGCGTTGAAGCATAATTAGGAAATTATGTCTAATAGGTTGAAACTTCGTCACCTATTCGTCAACATATTTCTACTAACTTGTTAGAAACCAGAAGCACCAAGCAAGTATATCACGTTCTAGAAGCAGTACTGTCTGGAGAAGTAGAATATATACAGACATTTTATCTATTCTTAACAGTAGGATATGATGTCGTTTATTGAAGAACCTTTGCTTGTGAGAAGATTATGGAACATTTAAAGAGAAGTAGAAATTTTGTAAAAATTTAAGGACTTAGCGTGAGAATACGTGGAACCACTACAACAAATTGGTTTTCAAGGACGCGTAAAATATCTAAATGTCCTAATAAAATACTTTATAGGATTTAAGTTTATAACACTAAACCAAAAAGCATCATATCTAAAAGTATTACAATAGGTTTATAGCTCATTTTTAGACGTTTTAACAAGTTTTTAAGAATACTTTGAAGTGTCGTATTAACTATTTTTACGACACTATTTGAAATGTGTCATATAAAAGACGAGTTTGTATGACATTTCTCAAAAGTGTCCTATAAAATAGCTAATATAACACTTTCTTTTTAAAGCATCATAAAAAGCTTGTTAAAAAACTCAAAAAACATCTTATAAACCTACTGTAACACTTTCAGATATAACATTTTATAGTTTGATCATATAAACTTAAATTCTATAAAGTATTCTATTATGACGCTTAGATATTCTAGACGTCCAATAAAGCCAATTTAGTTATAGTGAACCTGCAGACTAGTCTCTAAAAGAGCCATTGAGAAAAGTATGCTATTCAAATTGAGTCGATGTCAGACTCCTGCACGTCATATCTAACAGAGGTTAAAAGAACACATACTGTTCCAGAATGTCGAGTCCCTAACATGGTAAATCTTGGTTCTGATACCATATGGGAATACGTAGAACTCCCGCACTACTCTTCAAAAAAGCCTTTGAAGAGAGAAAATATGTTTTAACATATATAGAGATAAATTGTCTTGAATCTAATCAATGTGGAACTCGAAAACTTCGAAACGTTTTTGAAAAGCCTTACACAGTTACAATTTCCATATACATAATCCATAAAATTATCAAATATATGCCCTAGAATCAATGGCGGATTCAATACATAGTGGTAGGGGTCCTAGGCCCCCCAACAAACCCACCAATTTTTTTTTAAAAAAAGGCTATAAAAAATTTGTTTGGTAAATTCTCCTATTGTGCACCCAACAAGAATAAAACAAGGCTCCCAACAAAAACAAGGCAAGGGCCCCCAACTTGATATCCTGATTGTTAATTAGTCCATTTGCAGCACACATTGATATTTTTGTACGAAATATAAAATATAAAAATTATACACCTCGATGAATTAGTAAAAAGTCATCTGAAAAATCGACCTGAATAAGTTATCTTTATTCGATTAACTGAACCGTAAAAGCCGGAGAGGAAAATTCAAAACCGTTTTCATCCGGATGAATTATTTGGTTTTGAATTATTTTTCTACACGACTACCCCCTTAAGTGTGCGCCCTACTTTAAAATTTTCTAGATCCGCCACTGTCTAAAATAAACATGCACATTCGACTTTTTTTAATCAGAATTTTACAGAAGAAGAAACCAACCTTTCTATAAATAGGTCTTTTTCAACTTTATAAAAGTACGCTATATATTGCATACAATGGGAAAATGTACAACATGTGAAAGTGCAACAAAATAAATAGGTAAGATAGTAATTCATAATTTTTAGAGTAGATTAAGGATTTAGTCCCTAAGGTATGTCAAAAGTTACGATTTGGTTCTTTAATTTCATTTATTACATAAGAAATCTCTAGGTATGCAGATTGTTATCGATTTGGTCCCTGAGGCAAACGACCATCCGCTACGTCCGTTAAGTACTAGGGTAAATCAGTCTTTTTGTAATTTTCCTCCATTTTATTATGTTTGTTTTTTTGTTGATTGTTCATCTTTTACACATGAAGAACATCAAAAAGAAAAATGAAGAACATCAACATCATACGATAACATTTAGTACAATTTCGTGGCAAACTTTTTGTGATACAAATTCTAAATCATCTGCAATAAAAGAACATAAACTCGAAACTAAAATTGAAAATTTAAATCAAACCCAAAAAATTAATCTTAGAAAATACAAATAAGACTCTAATTCTGCAACAAACCCTAAAAAACCCAAAATGAGGGTGAAATCGAACCTGTCTAAAAAACCAAAATTGGGAAGAGGATTCATTGGAGTTGTAAGGGGTTATCACAACGGTGAGTGCAAGGGGATTCAACTCTAATCCTGCAACAAACCCTAAAAAACCCATAATGAGGGTTAAATCGAACAAGTCTAGAAAAATCCAAAAAAAGGGAAGAAGGTTCATCGTAGGTTGTAGGGGAGGGGGTTATTGCAGTAGTGAGTGCGAGGGGGTTCATCGGTTTTGCATGCACGAAATGGGGTGAAATCGAACTAGGCATGGGAATGAGGTGGGGATGAGACATGGACCTCAATCCCTATCCCAGTCCCCGATTCCTCATCTTCGTCCTCGTCCCAGTCCCCAGCCCCGCCGGGGAATATGATCACGTCCCCATCCCCAACGGGGAACAGGGATCTCCAACAGGGAAACAAGGATCCCCCCCCCCTCCCGGCTTATGTAAGCTATTGTAAATCAAATATGTAAGAGACTATACATGTTTAAATCTCACATATTTCCAATAAACCTAAAATCAAGAGAAAGATAATTTAATACAAGAAGCCACAACATCGTACAATACCTAATAACCTAAAATCAAAAGAAATTCAATTTAATCCAAAAAAAAAACTTAAGGTCATACGTACCAAAATATATCGAGTAATATAAAATCATATAAAGTAATTATATTTTGACTTGACATTCAAATCATTACATACTAACATCCAAAAAAATAACAATTTTATATTCTAAACCTAGTTAGGAAATAGGAAATTATGAATTACCGATTTCGTTGAAATAAATAATATAGTTTATTTATTAATTAATATATATATATATATATATATCTTTGTCATTAAATTATGAGATGAATATGAACCTAGATAAAAGATGGATTTTCATTGGTTGAGCTTGGTTAACAAAGTTAACACAATAATCTTGGTTAACATTTGAACCAAACTATTATATATATATATATATATATATATATATAGAGAGAGAGAGAGAGAGAGAGATGAGCGATTAAATGAAAATCACTCCAATTTGTAAAAACCGTGCAAACCACCCTCATTCGTCGATTTCATTGTTTAATCTTATGAAATTTTTTCATGAAATTGTTTAATCTTGTGAAATTGTTTCATATAATATTTTTTTTGTTGAATTTGTTTCATATATGGTTATGAAATTGTTTCATATAACATTTAATGAAATTTTAATGAAACTGTTTCATKTATTTCTCTAAAATTAAAATAATGAAAATGATAATATCCATGATTAACATCTTCCACAATAAAAATGATTAATCAAACTCTCATAATTACAAAAAAAAAATGAACAAAATGAAAAATTATGATTGGTTGAATGAGATTTTTACGGTTTTTACAAATTGAATGGTTTTCATTTGATCGGTCTCATATATATATATATATATATATATATATATATATATATAAAACTGTAGAGAGGTAGGGGGTGGGAGTGCGATACTCGTCCCCATCCCATCCCCGGTTTGAGACAAACAAGGATCCCTCTCTTCGCCCCCATCCCCGATCCGCATGGGTGGACTGGGTTTCCCGACGTGTCAGGGTCCATTCCCATGCCTAAATCGAACCTGTCTAAATTGTTGTCTGAAATCAGACCCCTCTGAATCGGCGCTTGGAACCCCGATACCCTTTGAAATCGAAATCTTTTACAATATAAACCATCTAAAGGTGGTTGTGGGGAGTCCGATGATAAAGGTGGTCACAATGAGATCTACGTTCGTCCCTGTGGTTTGTAACACAGATCTAGAAGAAAGAACACCCAATTTACCCTTGTAGTTAACGGATAAAATAGACGGATGTAGTGTGAGGGACGAAATTCAAAGCAATCTACATACATGGAGGTTTTTTATGTAATAAAAGAAGTTGAGGGACCAAATCCATAATTTTTGACATAGAGACCAAATCCGTAAATTACTTAATTTTTATTTTTGAAGTCCTTTTAAATACGGAAATACTATGATCGAATAGTCATGCATCGTTTAAGAACATCTCCAATGGAAGTTCCTATTTTTTGTATACTTTCACGTCACTTTTAAATAAGAACTTTTTTGTGGGTTTCATTTATATACATATTTTTTTATTAACCTGTATATCCAACTCATTAAGCGAGCCGATTAATTTTAGGAATTCACACTAAATTCAAGGAAAAAAATTAAAGTTTTTCTACAAAAACTTAAAGAATATGAGGTTCTTATTGTTAAGAACTTTCTTCAATAATGGTTCTAAGAACCTTGTACTGATAAATACACCTCTGCTTACTAATTTTCTTACAGAGACGTTAACATCACACTTGTTTTTAAATTTTTAATACATGATTTAATCTGATCGGTTGAAATAAAAACAATCCTCTAAAATTCATGATTTGACTTAATGACTTTTCACTAATTTTCCATGTAACCATGCAGGAATAAAATGCTTTGATTTGTAAATTATTGAAAAGTCCACATGTTGCTTAGATACGTCATGCTTCCTTTTATAGTCCAAACTTCCCTTTCATGTCTCCAATCCCAACCATGTTCTTCTCATTCTTTCTTCTATTACTTTTCTACCCTTCATGTTTTCCGGCGAGAACAGCGCCGCTGTCCAGCTCTCCGGAGCCGGCAACCACCATAAACCACAACTCCACCTGGCCCAACTTCCAGAAATTCCTTGATGCCAGCAAAGGCAGACACTTCAGCGGCATATCGGAGCTCAAGAAATATATGCAACGTTTTGGGTACCTTCAGGTCACTGACACAACCTCCGGCGACGAATTTGATGAAAGATTCGAGTTTGCAGTAGCCCGGTATCAAAGGAAACTCGGCCTCACCGTCACCGGAAAACTAGACTCCGATACCATTTCTGAGATGACGTTGCCGAGATGTGGCGTGAGCGATACGTTACCAACATCAAATCTACATGCAGTCCGACATTATAATTACTTCAATGGCAAGCCAAGATGGTCACGTGCCATACCAACAACTCTCACGTACGCTTTTTCTCCCAACTGCATGGCTTCAAATTTGAAGCTTTCTGACATACGACTCGTCTTCCGGCGAGCTTTTTCCCGGTGGTCAGCAGTGATTCCGGTGAACTTCACCGAAGCAGAAACCTACGGGTTTTCCGACATCAAGATAGGGTTTTACACCGGCGACCATGATGATGGAGAGCCATTCGATGGTGTTTTAGGTGTTTTAGCACATGGGTTTTCGCCGGAGAGTGGGAAACTCCACCTTGATGCGGCGGAGACATGGGCTTTGGATTTCGAATCAGAGAAATCAAGGGTGGCGGTGGATTTGGAATCGGTGGCGACTCATGAAATCGGTCATGTGTTAGGGTTAGCTCATAGTTTTGACAAAGAATCTGTGATGTACCCTAGTTTGAAACCTCGAGAGAAAAAAATGGATTTGAAGGTCGATGATATCGAAGGAATTCAACAACTTTATGGATCAAACCCTAATTTCAACATCAAAACGTTATCGCAGTCCGATACTTCTTCGAATCACGGTATAGATTCGAAGATCGAGCTCAGATCATCGAGGTGGAGCTTCGCCATCGCGATGCTTGCGATCATGTTTGTAGTTTGTTAAAGTATGAGGTACGATCGACAAAGCAAAACACAATAGGATAAAGAAGATAGAAAGATTTTTGGTTCATAGAAATTTGATTTTTAAATATTTTTTTCTGAGAGAAAGTGATCAAAACGATCATGGTATCAAAATCAAGATTCTCTTTGAATTTTTAATTTTAACGTTAATGGCTTTCTAAATTCAGACATAGTTGTTTGAGCTTAATGATACTTTTTGTATTGTAGTATGTGTTTTATACGTCAAGAAAGTTATAAATATCATCTTGTTTTTGGTTATTAATTGTTATATTTATCTTTTATTCATATGTTGACTTAGTAAGGGTTTTATCTGAATTTATGAAGCGTCTTTAACACGTCATGTGGGTCGTCGAATCATCCAGTTTCTCGTCAAATGTTAAATCCATGTAGCTAGGTTTATACTTTTAGATGATGATTTATTTGGTATGGAAAGTATCATGTGAGAAAGATGAAAGTTAAACCGAGAAGTGTAAGAAAGGATCCGAACCATTAATCATCTTTAATCTTACATTCATCTATGAATCGCGTTTAATACGAGGAATTGATCTGGTACATCTCGATGCATCTCATCTTAATGTGCATCAAATGATGGAGATCCCTTATGCTTCTCACCTTAATTCTTTTTCTCACCGGAATCCAACCATTATTTGATATATATATATATATATATATATAATATTTTTAGATGATGAATATCAACGTAAGTTATGATTTATGAGTAAATGATAAGGAAACTTTTCTAACGGTCGTCAGTTGGCTGCTACCACCAAACATCACCACCATCCCCATCACTTGACTCTTGACATTTCAATCTCTACTGATTCATTCTCACCACATTTTAAATAAATAAATTTATCCACTTTTTGCTTTATTTTTATTCTAAATAATTAGAATTTGAGTATCTATGCTTCATGTTCTTTCATATATCAAACATATGCTTTAACGTTCGATTATAGAAAAACAAACGTTTCATCCTCTTTTTTCAAAATTTTCCAAAAATACCTCGTGGTTTTCTCCGGTGGTTATGATTACAGCAACAGTTAACCTTCCGGGTCTTGACTAGGAAACTGGCTCTGCGAAGACGCTTCTTTCCCTAAAACCGCTCCATACAACTGTGAAACTCGGAAACCTCTTCGGTTTAAACTTCATTTTCTTTTAAGTCGATATATGTGTATATGTTTCTCTTCGTCTCTCTTGTTACGTACTCACATGCATATGCTTTTTACATTTGTCGATGTTTGGTTAATCTTTGTCTCATTGTGTCGTCCCTTTTAGGCTCGTGATTAATTTATTAAAAATGAGGTTTTCTAATTTAGCAAATGAAATCTCTTTTGATATGAACAAGTGTTTAATGAAGCTGATCCAATTTGAATTGATCTACTTCACTCTATTAACCTCAAGAGTATTGAACAAACGAAATGTCAGTTAGCTGCTAGTAACATTACATTTTTCCTATTTGAAATCATTTGATCGATTTAATGTTTCATCAATGAAACGACACTGTATTCCAAATAGACCAATCTCATGTGTTGTTTCATAGGTGAAACAACACTATATTATTAATACGGATCAACTCATGTATTGTTTCATTGGCGAAACAACACTATATTAACAGTACTATTGCTTCAAAAGTAAAACAAAACGTGATTTTTTTTAAAAATAATTGATAAAATAATAAAAATATTAATTCACATAATTCCTAAATTGCAAAATTGCAAAAATCTTATCTATACTATATTATAAAGCAACTTTCAAAGCATTATGTACAAATATCTAATGCTAAATTACTTAATTTTCAAATTTACAAATTCTCAATGCTTTGGTACAACCTATTAAATATATCTCCTCGTCCCTAATTTATCGATTTCTAACATAACCTCAGATTTATCAGCTTCACTCATATCCTTCTATTAGTCGATTGCTTCATCCATATCCTCTCGTCTATTTATTTCAATAGATTTAGATGACCTCCATCAGGCAAATTGTTTCATCCATATCCTTCTAACGATTTTTAGCAGGTTTAGATAACCTCCATCATGCAACAATTCAATAGATTTAGACGGATATACATATCGTTTTTCATTTCTATCACATCCTTTACTTATATATATATATATATATATATATATATATATATATATATATANATTTTTTTGTGTTAACTATGCTAACCAACATCAACCAATCATGTTCCATCTTTTAGTTAGGTTCAAATGTAACTCACATATTAAATGTAAGGGTATTTAAGTAATTTGTCATTTTTATGTAACTCCCCAATATTTTAATTGGGAGTTACAAATCTTAAAATATCACTAATTGATCTTCATGTAATAATGACATGAAGTTTCACATTTGTTCATCTTACTGATTTTACATTTCATTCTTCCTACAATGGTTTTGATATTGTAAATTTCAAAAAAGTCCCTTTTGTAAAGATTATGTTATAGTCCAAGTAATATGGATAATCATAGAGTAAAACAGATCGACGACAATGAGAATGAAAAAGCTAAAAGCGTTTACGAATACATTCGGAATTCGAATTCCGAAAGTGAAGAAAATGATCAAACCGTTCACGCACATGTTCATTCAAACGTCGACATATGTGTTCACTCGTGCACATATGTGTTCAATTGGTTCACACAATATGTCCATTTGGTTCACTTACATGTTTCAATTGTTCATTAGGTTCACACATTGTTTTGATGAAGATTATGAACCTAATTTTTCAATTGTTCATTAGGTTCACATATTGTTCATTAGGTTCACACATTGTTTTGATGAAGATTATGAACCTAATTTTTCAATTGTTCATTAGGTTCACACATTGTTCATTAGGTTCACACATTGTTCATTAGGTTCACACACATGTTTCAATCTTATCTGGATGCCGTCGCCTGGTAATCCTTCCAAATCCTCCATTGTTTTGATGAAGATTATGAACCTAATTTTTAGCTACTGATTTAAGATATTGATCGATGACATTGACGGTTTCTTTATTGATTGGAAGTTACATAATAGGCTGACAAAATAGGATACGTTAATATCATTTACTTTTTACAATTCTACCATCTGAACCATTGTGAACCTAATTTTTTTATTAAATTGGTAATTAAATAATTAAATTTTTAGTCTCAATAAATGACAACCGTTGGATGTTCAAATCAACGAGCAAGATCGGTGAACAAAGTTAACACGATAATCTTGGTTAGTATTTGAAACAGCCCTTATATATATATATATATATATATATATATATATATTCGAAGCAGGTTCTTCAGGATACAGACAAATTCCAAGCTTCCAAGGTTAGTTTCCTTCAATCTTTTGTTTTTGTTTCTTTTGTTTGTTATTCAAGATTCAATTTATGGGGTTAATTTCTGTGATGAAGCGTATGCATCAATGAAAAAAAGAGAGGTGATTCCAGACATAATGACAAGGGTTAGTACTCATGACATTCGAACTCAGATATTTCATCTATTCTCTTGGTTCATCTATCAATGCTACTTTACCACATGATACTTCATTTTGTAAGTATAACTTATTAAAACTCATGTATCAATTTGTGTAGCTAACAACAAATACTCATAATCGTAATAGGATAAACATCTCATTTTAAATCATTTTAAATATAAAAAAATCTAAAATATAATTAGGATAATCATTCTAACAGAATACTTAAGTATTATCTTTATAAAAAAAATATTATTAAACCAAAAATAAATTACTTCTTTATCAAATCTAAATTAAGTTATAATAAAAAAAATCGAATTAAAAGAAATTACACAAAAAAATAACTTTTAAATAGTTAATTTGATAAGATATTTTTTTCAAAGTTTTTATGATATCTTTACATTTATATTTTATTAAAAAAACATTACTGATTTCTCAATACCACATAAAATTGTATTATAATATTAATAAAAATAAAAAAATAAAATAAAATATTAAAATTAAGATGTATCTTACTTCTTTTATGCAAATACCCCCTTTATAAACAAATAACTAATTTGACTCGGGACTTATTCAAGCCCAGGAGAAAGAGCAAGGATGTAGTCATAGTCAAAGTCAAAGGAGGTCTCAAATTCTCATTTTACCCGTAGAGACTTGCACCCTTTAATTATAGTTTTAAGATGTACAAATTAAACCCTCATGTTCTAGATAAATATCATTAAGACCCCTGTTTATGTTCATTCAAACCTATATCGCAACAAAATTGACTCAAAAAATGTTTGCAAAGCCATATTGAAATAGTATTCCTTATAAAAAAAGAGGCTTTATTCAGTAATCTAATATTTTTACGTACATTTCACTATTTTGTCATATCTAAACTAAAGATTACATGTTACACCAGTAATAATACAAGAGAGGGATACCAAGTGTCGTCGCCTCCTCCTTTAGATTTTTTTAGTTAACATATGCATTTAAATTTTGTGATATCAAATCAAAATTTTGAGAGTTGTCGACCCCTAAACAAAATGCAAAATTCAATTTATATATTACGTTTCTTTCATTGATTTTTTTTTTTACTCTGGTATTGATCTTAACTCTGATGACCACAATTTCTCCAATAAGACATGTCAGAATTCCATCTGATTATTTTTTCTAGTCTCTGAAAATAGAAACTGTTTAGAAATTTCTCCATTATTAAATCAGTTGTTGAATGATATTCTATAATAGTGGTGGTGGATGGTTCAGATAGTTCCTAGGGCCGGAGTACGTATATATAGTGCTGCTAATTACAATCTTATCTGAAGAAGATCTATATAACCTATAAAAAAAATAGTACAAAAATACTGTTTATAGGAAGTAGATTTTGTTTTTCGACAGTTGTATCAATAATATAGTTCGACATTTAAATTTTACAAAATGAATTATGAAGGCTAGATTATTGAGCATACATAATAAATAAAAACGAAACAAGATTAGTGATAACTAAGGGGTATGATAGTTGTAACATCTTGTAAAGGTCATTTAAGATAATATTCCTTCTTTGAGGGTCCAATTGATGTTTATCAAAATACAAGGGGTAAAATATAATTATAAGATACTATAAGGTACAAATGAAAAGTTGGTTTTCATACAACCATTGGTTGCTCGACTTGACCCGGGTACCAAAGTCAATAATTATAACATTTATTTATTTAAGAGTAAATTACAGTTTTAATCCATTCATTATTAAGTCTCGTCTTTATTTTTTTAATTTTAATTAATTATATTTGATTATTATGGTTGTTAATTTGTTTTTACTTTTGGTCCATGTAAGGGGTCGTTTGTTTACCCTTTTAATAGTTTTATTAAGAGGCAGTGTCTGAATCGTTAAGAGCTGAATCTTATTTGACAAAAAATTTTTACTTCTTAATGGTTCTAAAACCCTCTAAATAATTTTGTATCATGTGTCTCCCTTCACTATTCAGCGCTAATTTTATTGTAAACAATTATATTTCATTTTACATTATATCATGAGAGCATGAGAGGATAAACATCTTATTTTAAAATATAAAAAATCTAAAATATAATTAGGATAATTATCGAGTTCTAACAAAAT